AGAGTGGAACAAAGAAAGATCCGTAAATCACGAGATTGTGAAGAGCAAGCACTCTGTCTCACGTTGAACTCTCTGTATAAGAGAAGCAGAACCCGGTAATCAAATGCAAACGGCGTCGTTTCAGCAAGAAGAAAAAAACCCTAAACGATAAAGAAAACACTGTCGTTTTGAAAACATCACAAACAATCCCACGGTTAAACCCGGTATTACGTGGTTAAGCAATAACCGGTGGAATTTTTGGAGTTCAAGGACACTATAAGAAATACTCATTTTAATTTTAGAAATTTCATGTAAGTCCAATATTCACCACTAATCACACCAAAAAAAAAATCTAGATAATGTTTACATCGTATTTATAATCCCAGTAATTTATGGTTTAGTAGCTTGCTTGAGGAAATCATTTGGATCATAATAAAAAGGGCTTTTTACTCCTTTTTTGACGTCATAAAGCCTTTTTACTTGCAAGTTTTAACAAGTGGTTAACGTCACGTAAAATCGGAATCACTTGCGATGCTCATCATCATCATCTCACGTGGCGTAACATAAATAAAACACTTCCTATTTCACTGCACTTTATATATAAAAGGATCCGAGTCCAAGAGAAAAAAAAAAGAAAAAATTCATCTGCACAAAGTTTTTTAGAAAAATGGATCAGTTCAAAGGTCAGCCTCGTCTTCCCAAATTCGCCGTCCCTAAGCGATACGATCTCCGTCTCAATCCCGATCTCGTCGCATGTACTTTCGCCGGAACCGTCGCTATTGACCTAGATATAGTCGCCGATACTCGTTTCATCGTTCTCAACGCAGCTGATCTCTCCGTCAACGATGCATCCGTTTCTTTCACTCCTCGTGCTTCCTCGAAGGTATTGGTAACGCTACGATCTAATTCTGTCTATCGAGTTTTTTGTTTGTTTGTTGGTGATGATATGAATTCGGATTTCGATAATGTGATTGGAATTATGGTCTTGGTGGTTTGGTCGCTGAGAATTCAGCGGATTAGTTTCTCGAGTTGAGAGTTTTGATATGATTTGTGATTTTGATTCCGGTGATAGATTAGGTACACAGATAGAATCGGGTTTAGGTCGGATTTTGCTCTGTTCGACTTGGTTACTGATTTAGAAAACTGCATGTCTTCTCTGGTTTGGACTAAATGTTATTTTCAGAAGTCATGCATACTAGTTCTACCATCTAGACAAAATCAGCCGTAGTTTATATTGTTGCTTCTTCGGTTTCATTTCTGAAAAATATAGGAATTTGAGCCACGAATGCAGTACTTTTATTGTTAAGCAGGCACTAGCAGCTCCTAAAGTTTCCCTGTTTGAAGATGATGAAATTTTGGTGTTGGAGTTTAGTGAAATTCTTCCACATGGTGTGGGAGTATTGGAATTGGGGTTCAATGGAACACTAAATGATAAAATGAAGGGATTCTACAGAAGGTAAAGTATTGTTTCTTATCTTTGGTACATGTAGAAATTCTCATAGATATAAGTTAATTCTCGAAGTATCTTGTTTTCCTCTTGGCGTAGTTCCTATGAGCATAATGGTGAGAAGAAGAACATGGCTGTTACCCAATTTGAACCAGCTGATGCTAGGAGGTGTTTCCCATGCTGGGATGAGCCTGCTTGCAAGGTTTCCATCTGTTCTTTCTCTTTGCCTCGTCTTTTATCAGCATGAGTATACATACATACCAAAGCGGTATTCTGTTTTCCTTGGTCTTTATCTTTTCGAATTGATACTTTGTGCAACAGGCTACCTTTAAGATTACACTAGAGGTGCCAACTGAATTAGTGGCACTTTCCAATATGCCCGTTGTGGAGGAGAAAGTTAATGGGAACTTGAAGATTGTCTCTTATCAAGAGTCACCAATTATGTCTACCTATTTGGTAGCATTTGTTGTTGGTTTGTTTGACTATGTGGAAGATCTCACATCCGATGGTAAATTCAGAATTCATTTTATCTATTATTAACTCCCGTCTAGTCAATTCCAGAATCTCTAAAGCAAGTTTCATCTTTTCCGCAGGTATTAAAGTCAGAGTATACTGTCAAGTGGGCAAAGCTGACCAGGGAAAATTTTCATTGCATGTTGGTGCAAAGACGTTGGATCTGTTCAAAGAGTAGGTCCTTCCTCAACATTTGAAACTTTATGTGCATGCATATTTCTGAACTTCTTTTGCTGGTTGTATCATAGCTTTCGCTTATGCATACTTGTTGCAAAATAACTCCAACCATTCTTGTAGGTACTTTGCCGTCCCATATCCCCTTCCCAAAATGGATATGATTGCGATACCAGATTTTGCTGCTGGAGCTATGGAGAATTATGGTTTAGTTACGTATCGTGAAACAGCTCTTCTCTATGATGAGCAACATTCAGCAGCTTCTAACAAGCAGAGGGTACTACAAACATGTCCTTTATTCTCTAGGGAAATTTTCTTGTGCGCTTTTATACAATTATCTAAAGCAGTTAATTTCTGCTGCTAGGTTGCTACTGTAGTTGCTCATGAACTGGCCCACCAGTGGTTTGGCAATCTTGTCACTATGGAGTGGTGGACTCATCTATGGCTGAACGAGGGTTTCGCTACTTGGGTACATTGCAAATTTTAGGTCTTTGTATTAACAACGACTTTGAGTTTTGTTGTGAATGTGTTGTTACTCTTTATCTGTTTCAGGTAAGCTACTTGGCTACTGATAGTTTGTTCCCTGAATGGAAAATATGGACCCAGTTTTTAGATGAATCTACTGAGGGTCTAAGGCTAGACGGGCTTGAGGAGTCTCACCCAATTGAGGTAACCAAAATAACTACTATGTGATTAAGTGTCACACATTTCTGAAAAATGCTGTCGTTATATGTGTCGTGGAAGCTTAGTGCCTTTTTTCCTTGTATACAACTATCAATTTCATGGATACTCGATTACCTATTTATCATGAGTCCGAAAATTTTCTCAGGTGGAAGTTAATCATGCTGCTGAAATTGACGAAATATTTGATGCAATAAGCTACAGAAAGGGTGCATCTGTTATCCGCATGCTCCAAAGCTATCTTGGTGCTGAAGTTTTTCAGGTTTTTCTCATGCCCATTTTTCTCTGTTACAAAAGCAATTACATGACTATTGCGCTCTGATAATTATATTTGTGCACAAGATTTATCATCCATGCTTTGACCACTGGATACATGTACTTCTTATGGGTTACGAAATGTGTAGACAGCTGCATATATAATTATGGATAATTTTCAAATGCATCTTAAATCACTCTTTAGGTGAAAGTGTTAACCATGACTAGTATACCTCTCTTAAGCCCATCAAATTCACTGAGGGAGAAGTACTTGGATGTGTAAATAATAATGTGTAGTCCACCTTGCTTCGTGTCGATTAGGGAAGAAAGAAAAGCTATCATTAACAGAAAATAGATTAATATGAGTTCTGGTTCAATCACTTATAATTGTTATGTTTTAGAGAACCAAATCAAGTTATGAGAATCGCAGCTGCTATCTTCTTATGTTGTGCATGTACAATATGGAGGCTTAAATTTTAATTTCCCTTTCTTGTATGGCTTTGGTGAGCAGAAGTCACTTGCTACATATATTAAAAATCACGCTTACTCAAACGCGAAGACAGAAGACTTATGGTCTGCCTTAGAAGGCGGATCAGGAGAACCTGTGAACAAGCTTATGAGTTCTTGGACAAAGCAAATGGGATATCCTGTTGTCTCAGCGAAAATTAAAGATGGAAAATTGGAACTTGAGCAGGTTCTTAGATTTATTACCCTTGCTGAATGTCCTACTTTTACTCCGTTTAAATGCCACTAAGGTTGGACTTTCATTATAATATCTTATGCATGATCGATTAACTAAATTCATTTTGAAATTACAGTCTCGTTTCTTGTCAAGCGGTTCTCCAGGGGAAGGACAATGGATTGTGCCAGTAACCTTGTGCTGTGGTTCATATGACAATCGCAAAAACTTCTTATTAGAATCCAAATCTGGAGCATATGATCTTAAGGAATTATTGGGCTGCTCCATTGCCGGTGGTAGTGGCACAAACAATGCGACATGTTCTTGGATAAAAATCAATGTCGATCAGGCTGGATTCTATAGGGTGAAATATGATGACAGCCTTGCGGTTGGACTCAGAAATGCAACAGAGAGCCAAAGCTTGACCCCAATCGATAGATTTGGTAATTTAAACTTGCAGAATTTTGTTTTCTGGTTGACAAAATGGAACTCCTTTGGAGTTGAAATACCCTACTTTTTCTTTTGCAGGTATTTTGGATGACTCTTTTGCACTTTCTATGGCTCGTCAACAGTCTCTGGCGTCTTTGCTCACTTTGACGAGCGCTTACAAGAAGGAACTTGACTATACCGTGCTGTCAAACCTCATTGCTGTAAGTATATGCCATCTTTGTCTTTAACCTTTCCTGTTCCATAACTACGTGGAGCTCTTACTCGTCTTCCATACAGATAAGCTACAAAGTTGTGAAGATTGCAGCAGACGCAAATCTAGAACTGATGTCTGCGATTAAACAATTTTTCATCGGCGTTTTCCAATTTGCTGCTGGGTAAGCTGCTTTACGCATCTACAGAGTTTAGACATCAACATCAAAAGCTTGTATAATTTTTATGTTCTATTTACCAAACAGAGAAATAAAGAAGAAATCAATGTCGTTTCAATGTTTCATTATTCCTACAGGAAACTTGGTTGGGATCCTAAACAAGGTGAGAGCCATCTAGAT